TGATGAGAGCTATACCAACGTTGATTATGTGGAGCTTGTGGAAAAGAAGGAATCAAATCAAACACGAAGAACATATCAGCTTTGAAGGGCTAGTACATCAAGTGGAGAAGAACTCTCTGATAATGGTGAAGATGAAAAGCTCTAACATCAACGTAGTAGGAAAGTCATAGCCAAAAATGTGAAAATGTTAGGTACTCATAAACCTAGAATTTATCACCACATTGTGCAATGGAAGCTACGTACCAGTATTAGGACAGTTAAAATGTAACACTGATGGTATAAGTAATGAAAATCTAGGAGAAAGTGCATATGGTTTCTGCTTCAGAGATAATAGTGGAGATCTAATTCATGCACAAGCAAAACGAATTGATTTTGCTACAAACATAGAGGCAAAAGCTAGAGCTATTATGTAACACCCTGTATTCGAAACAGACCAAAAATATAGATTTTGAGAAGTTGGAGGTGCAACCCACGGTTGCCATCCACGGACCGTAGGTCAGACCACGGCCCGTGCTGATGGTCCGTGGTTCACCACTGCAACCCCTCCCCAAACCCAGCTTAGAAAATCGTCTAAGTCTTGACCCACGGACAGATCCACGGTCCGTAGGTCAGACCACGGACCGTGGTATGTGTCCGTGGATCAAGACTCCTTTTACCCAGCCTCTGATACGAACTACAGCCTACCAGCTCGGACCGTCATTCGACCTACGATCCGTAGGTCTGACCGTAGATGGGGGTCAACAGCCAGTTAGAGGAAATTGTTGATTGGGTCAACTTCATATGGTCATAACTCTTAGCACAAAAGGATTTGTGTGTCCCATGACATATGATATGATAGATAATTGAATCATCTTTCCAACGCCATCGAGTTTGCTAAAATCCGACTTTCGAGTAAAACATTATGCTTGTTTTAGTGAAGCCCTGTCAAACAGAGTTGATCAACGACCCCAATCTGTTGAACTATGGCCTGTATGTCCAATTCATCGGTCACTCCGACAGTAGTTAAGTCAGGGGTCTTTTGGTCTTTTCCTATTTCGTTAGACCCCTAAGATACGTCGTTTAGACCCTAAATCATGAGGGTTTAGTCAGTTTAACCCTAGAAACATAACTAGAACTTATCTAAGTCAAATCATTAATCAAAACTTAGAAAATTAGAAGCGTAAGAAGAGAAAGAGGCGATCAACCCTAACTCCTAGAACGCAACAAGTTTTCTTCAATTCCAGCCCAGAAATCAAAGGATTTCTCCGTGAAATTCGTCACCAGGTATGTGGGATTTCACTAGTGGGTTCCTTTCGCCCATTAGGTCCCTAAAATTCAGTCAGATTCTTGATTCCATGATTATGAATAGACCTAGGGTTTCTAGAGTTTCAACAAATCATCATGAATTAGTTATTTAAATGTTCCAAATCAGATTATCATGTAATTGCATGAATTTTAGAACCCTAGCTATGTATTTCTTTAGTTCTTGAATTACACATGCTAGGTCAGATATTTCAGTATTCAGTTATACATGCCTCAGTTTATGAATGCATCATTATCAGATTAATTGTTGCATTCTCAGTTTTCCATGTTCAGTTTTGAGCTATCCAGTATTACATAAATTTAGTCATAATATGTTAATCACTTAATCTATTGGGAGTAGCATAATACCGAGTTGGACTAGGGTTTAACGTACCCATATAGTCCTAGAACTACGAGCTACGTATAAGGTGTAAGTCCTCTCTGTGGGCAATATCAGTTAGTGATCACGCCAACATGCCTCTACACCTTTGGCCGTGTGTATTGGGTCCTCTCGATGAGGCGTATATATCAGACTCCACATTTAGCTCATGCAGTTTTATGTCGGTTATTAGTAGCTCCCATAGTTCAGTCAGATTCTATTGCATTGACCATGTATCAGTATATTCAGTCTCATCATGTTATAAATTGGTCATTGCATTCAGTTAGCTCAGTATTTAGTATCTATATCATGTCCAGATTATTTCATTGCTTTATTTCTTTGTTCAGTTATATGTTATTTCAGCTTTACTCTATCCTGAATGCACAGTACCTTTCAAATATTGATGCATACGTGTGTTACTTCTTCTCGTGATGTAGGTTGAGTAGGGGGAATGAGTCTAAATCACTGGACATTAATGAACCATCATTGATGGACGTTGCACATGACACGATCAATTTGACTCAAGGTCCCGCGCTAATAGAAATTGCTTACTTTCCTTTCCCAACTAAAATCGAAAGGGCTGTATCACATCGAGATGTCGATTCATTTTCCGCCCCCAATGAGATGAGGCTAATTCAGGAAAAAACTTGCACATGTGCATAAGAAGACTAAAATATGTTTAATAAGCCTTAGTCGACCTCCGAAGGACAACAATTTTCTTTCCCAATCTGAGACATCGCACATCCGATTCATGAATAGAGGATTCATAAACAGTTTTGGTAAGACAAAAGTGAACTTTAGGTAAGTAAGTAGTCCCGTATGAAATTCAGAAAACATTCATATCTGGCACTTGAGGAGGTCAATCTTAAGTGTTGGAAGCACGCTAAGAGAAGAGGAGAAATGTTCGCAATTACTACCACAAGAAAGCCGCCCCCTATCTTCTAAAGGGGCCCGTCACTTCGTTCGTACCTTCTTGGCTTAGGCTTCCAACTGAACAACATGGCCTTACCGCCCCGCACTCAATGGCATTGATCACACCTACAGCCAGAAGAAAGAAAATACCTAGCGCCCCGGTCCCTCCATTGACTAACTGGCCTTGTCAAGCGACACAGACACATGTACATAAGGAATCGCACCTCCTTCTTGCTCTTTGGGTTTATTAGCGTTAGCTGAGGCCTCTCGAGATTACTCCCTTAGAGCTTGTGTTCACTCCTATTTCCTCTAAAGCTCTTTATGTGGGGAACACAATCAGTCCATACAAGGACCTACTGAGTCATCCACCCTTGCATCTATTTGATGCATCATCACATGGCCAGCTGCTCGGGGGATCGCACCCCTTGGCCTAGGGTATACATTCAGATCTGCAGGCATACCTAATTAACGATAAGAGCAGTGTTTCTTTTAATGATAATGGGGTTGATCCTTATTTTGAGATTTTTTGCCTTTCTGCGGAAGCAATTCCCTATCTTGGCCGCGGGCAAGCTTCCTGAGAAGACTCTGAAGCTTTTTCCTTCTTTAGAGAGTCAGTCTGTTTTTCCAGGTTCTCAGCATCCAGATCACGCTTAGATCGGTTCCCGATCTTCAATTCAGCAGAATCAGTGGTGAGTCCTCATTCTCCGAGGACAATAGTCATGAGTTTCTTTTCAGTATTCTTTTGTCCTTTAGTTTCACTTTTGCTAGACTTAGCTGGGGCCTGTCCCAGCATATCTAGTCATTTAGAGGCTATTTTCAGACATAGTTAGATTCAACTTAGTATTGAGTTAATATCATCTTTGTATTAAACTCATCAGTTTTTATTTATCTCAGTTATGGTATATGGGTACTCCCCATCTTTTCATTTTATTTATGATATAGCTTCCGCATCAGTTTATTATCTTTAGTATGCTCATGATCATGCCAACAGGGTTAGCTTGGGATCACTTGTGGTCCTAGGTCCCGTGTCCGCGTCTCGGGGGTAGTCTCAGGGCGTGACATATTCAAACAACATTACAAGTTAGCAAAGAAAAGGGGTGACAACATATATATAGAGATAGAAACCAATTCCTTAACTATAAAGAACATCATACAAAGGAGTTAGAGAATCCCATGGGAGATTATGGAGACAGTGGATGAAATAATGAGAGAGGTGCAACAGCAAAATGCTACTACTAAGCACATTTTCAGAGAAGACAATTAAATTGTGGATTATTTAGCAAATATAGTTATTAATCAAGAAGGTATGCACATTTTCAAAAGTTTTACAGAGTTACCAACAACATGTAGACACATAATTAATAGTGATAAAGCTCAAATTCCAAATATAAGGATTAGGACCAAGCAGATAAAACAAGATGAAAATTCAAAAGCTAGGATTTAAGTAGGAAAGAAAGGGGGCAACAAACATATTTGCAAAAGAGTATGTCTATAAGAGGGGTTAATTACAATTGCCTTAATAAAGTTTTTGCTAATTTATGTTAGAACCCAAAAACTTTCACCAAAAAATTAGAGATACATGCATCTTTAACATTCAAGCATGAAAGTCAGAACTCAAGCAAAGTTTGGCACGAAGCTCAAAACCAACTGACAAAGTACAAACTTGGGTAAGAAATAAAAAGAGGTAGAGGACTAAGGAAATAGAGAAAGTCGAACCTAAGGACGTACTGTGAACTCCTTGACGGTTACCTCCATGAACTCCACACTCGAGTGAACCCATTACCTCCTATTAGGAGCAGAGGAAAGTCAGAAGGCAAGAAATGTACAAGAAAAGAAAGTAAACAAATATAAAAAGGAGAGGTACCTCTCAATAGTGAATGCTCATGTGTGAGTTACAGATGAGGGAAGCGGAGAGGCGGCAAGGTGGAAACAATCCCACAAGAGAAGACAACGAAGAATGAGGTTCTAGTGACTACCGGAAGGGAACCTTGTGGAGACAAGTTGAGAATAGGAAAGTGAGAGAAAGGCGGATAATGTTAGGGTTCTTTCCTTATATACATAAAGGGCTTAGGATGGGTTGGGCTCCTTTGTCCGATTTTGGTGGCAACAATATCAATGACAACTCTATCATTTAATTCATTGGGTTTTGTACTCTTTTTCCCTCGACTAAGTTTTTATCTCAAGTAGATTTTTCGAACAAGTTTTTTAACAAGACAATAACATAAAGCATACTAAGATGATTACATGTGAAACAAAAGAGTAGTTTCAAACGAAAATAACACTAGAAATGGATTAAACAATACACATAGTAGCAACTTGGAATATGAATAGATGAAAAGCCTCACGAAAAAATAGTTTTAATCCAAAATAACACCACTAAAACAATACACACATAGTACATAAAGACTTGGGGTGGGGTTGGGGGGGGGGGGGGATCACACTTACAAGAATTATATACATTTTGTTATTACAAGTCAATATCCATTGTGGTCCAAATAGAAGCAGAAAGTAGGCGCCGGGACTTCCATCCTAAAACCAATTTATTGGTCCCAATTTCCTCCACCCTATACCCATCATTGAATAGCCCCAACAACAATTTTGCTTGACAATGATTTGCAAAGCTTATATTACTCTCACAGAACCCCACCCCACTCAACCACTCCCCCCATGAGCACCTTTCTTCCTCTCCTCGGGCCCGGTAGATTCGGGCCAATGACCCAGTTATTCGAGGCCCGAGGAATACCCGCTCCACCAATGCCCGAGCTCGGCTTTGCAAAGGGAATCCTGCCTCAAGCGAATCATAGAGTGCTGAGTAGTGGTGTAAAGTATCCATGAACCGCCCCACGAACCCTTCTTCGTCTCCTATTGGCCTTAGTTCCTCTTCGACTAGGGTCACGAGTCTCGGATTCAGTGTCTTAGATCCAGATAGGAACGAAGCAACTGAATCCGAGGCCCGATATCTAAAATGAGGCAAGTGAAGCATGCAATTAATAATTAAAGCTTCGCCTCTAACTAACTTGAGATTTGTTGGCTTAAATATTTCGTCTGAGTCCAATCTGCAGTGATGAAATGAAAATGGCTGACCGATAGATGCAGCGAAAGCCGTTAACCGACGGCCGGTCTCTTGGACCGTCCCGAATGACCGACGGCCGCTGCCGCTCCTTGACAATGCTGTGATCCGAAGGTGCGGAGTTGGGGGGCCATCTTTTCTGGACACCAAAGCTTGCATTAACGATGCCCATTGAATTCCTTCCATTATATCGTAATCCACAATATGAACTCTTCGATCATGGGTTACCGATTCTAATATAGCTTGATTTGCTGTAAAATGCCCAAATTTGACAAAAGGAGACATATCCTGCAATAGCTGAAAAGCTGCTAGAACATCTCCCTGATGGTGTTCGTCTTTGTAATTTGGGGAAAACATGTGCTTAGCGTGTAACGTACCGGAAGCAGCGCCTTCGAGCAACGCCTGCAAGGCGTCAGTGAAATGCGCGGCCAATCTCTCCATATTGGTAGCGCCGTTTGGGGACGCCAATTCCTTGAGCCGAACCAATATCACTCGAGCCAACTCACGGCTTTTATTCACGCCGGTTAACGCCTCCGCTGCCGCCATGAGGAGGTGAACAAGCTTCAACCCGTTAATATCTTCCGATTGGTTGTTATTAGAGTCTCCTGATTCTTCTTCTTCTTCCTCCATAATCTCAGCAGAATCCTCTTCGGAGTTGTGAAAGCAATTACCCGATCCCTGGATCATAGATTCAATTAGATCTTGGAAATTATCGCCACCGGAAAACGCATCCCAATCGAAAACCGGCGACCAGTCATTCCATGTACAACCATGATCATCTTCGGAAGAAGAAGAGGTTGTTGTTGTAGTGATAGTTGTAGTGGGTGTGCTTAAACTAGCATAACAATCAAAATCTGAGATGGTTTCATCAACCATCATAGCCATAACTGCACTCCAAGTGTTTGTTTATATGCCTCACTCAAGATTATGTGCTATGATTTATAAACTGTAAATAGGAAAGAAAGAGCTTAAACAAGAGACAATAGGAAAGTGATTAAGATTAATTAAAAGCATTAATAAAACAGGGATTAGTACTCTAATAAATAGAGTGGTAATGATGGGTTTCTTGTTCAATAGTGTTGGTGTGGTTTAAAATTTAAATTAGGTCATCAAAGCTGATTAATCATGCATTAGTTAATTTACTCTTTTGCCCCAGACATTTTAGTATTAATTTAAGAGTTTTGCTCCAATGTTTTTTTTTTCTTGTTTGTTTATCACTATGGTCCTCTACCAACTAGAAGGTTGGAAATTTTGAGGTATAAGATTGCAAGAACCTTATAAAAGTGGGGATATATTTTATTTGATGTGTGAGGTTTGAGACAAACATAGTGCATTAGTTTATTGAAGAAGTATGTGCCATCCATGTCATGTTGTATATTTTAGAATAAGATTTGTTAAAAGAAGTCTATGTATTACTGATTAGAGTTATGGAGATATTAGTATTGTACGGATTAGTTATAAGTAAATTTGTGTATTATTTTATTCATGTATTAGTTATGAAGAAATTGGTTATTCCACCTTTTATCCAGTGGTGGAGCCAAGATTTTCAATAAGGGGGTTCAAAAGCTAAAAAAATAGATACATGAAGTAGCTGAAGGGGGTTCGACATCTACTATATATACCTAAAAAGTTATTTTAATCATGTATAAATTATATAATTTTCCGCCACTGCTTCTATCATGCATAAATAATAGAGAGAAATATTGAAAATACCCTTAAATTTGGCGTAAATTATTAGTTTCACCCCTGAATTATTGACAACATTAAAAATACTCTTTTACTTGACTAAATTATTTTATAAGTTTCCAGGTCATACTAAATTGCATATTAGTTAACAACCTATATGAGAAAGTAAAAAAAAGAAGTCCAAATAATTAAGGAAAGGAAAATGAAAACAAAGATAAGTTGATGTGATGACTAATCTATAATGTACCAAAGTCCAACATTATACTGTTCTTGTCACTGTGAGATGTGAAAATTAAATTAACCAAATACATTTGAGATCTGTTAAAAATAAATTAGTAAATAAACTCAGATCATCAACTTAATTCAACCAGCTGACCGTGCAGTTCTGAGCTTACAATCCCTCTTTACAAGAATAATATACATATATTGCGAGTTACATATCAAGATTATTGAATATTTTTTGTTACTTTTCTAAACTATAACTCTTTAAATAAAGGAGTAAATTTTAGGTTTAGCAAACATAAAAATCATATTTGTAGGCTATAATTATAGTTTGTATAATTGCGCTCCATAGCAAACATAAGATTCATATAAATCGTTGGCAGCCTCTCATTTGTATAAATCGTTGGCAGCCTCTCGTTTGTTTAAATCGCTGACAACCTCTCAATTCAATTGTATATATGTAACTATTATGTATATGTATCAATGATTGTGTTTGTATATCTGCGTAAAATTTGAATTTGTATATCAAATTCTCTCTCTCGCTTTATACAACACAAATTATACGTTGTAATTTGTATAATTTGTGTTTGTATAAAGCGAGAAAGAGAGAAAATGCAAAAGAGAACTGGTTGGGGAAGATCTGTATTTGTATAATTATAAGTGTATTGGACGAAAATGTATGTATTTGTATTTGTATATATAGTTTCCTCTCGCTTTATACAAACACAAACACAATTTATACATTTGTGTTTGTATAAAGTGAGGCGAATGACAACTGTTTGCTACGACTTACAATTAAATGAAAATGTGGTTATAGACTTATAACATTTAATTTGATTAATAGTTTGCTATTTTATACAATTTTCTCTAAATAAAAAGGCCATAATTATATATATGGCAAAATATTTAAAATAACTTGCTTAGTGATGTGTACAATAGTTTAGGGGCTTCTATGAACACCCAAATTTTTTTTAGGTTTTGAATTAACAAAATGGTGATAGTTTAAGAGATTATATCTTATTCATTCTGAAAGATAATAATCATGTTTATCATCACTTGAAACTCTTTGAAAGAATTTTTTTGAAACGTGATGTTCATATAACAGGTCAGAATCCCCGATGAGACATTTTATTATGAACTATGATAGTTCAAGAGGATTCAGTGAACACCCAATAATTTAATTAGGTATATGATTAACTTGCAAAACAATGTTACTTCAGAGATTTTTTAAACCTATTCATTCTTTTATTATGCCGTAATGCTTTTCACACTAAAGTTGTGGGTTTGAACTCCCTCTTTTTTTTAAATAAATGAAATTTAGAACCCCAAAATCTTAATCATGGTTTCGCCTCTAAAATTAATCAATGTATTTGTTTTTATAGCAATATATTTATTTCCATCAAGTTTGATTACTTCCAAGTTCCAAGCTACTCATAGCTTGCAGAAGTAACTAGAACTACGAATCCTTGTCTCTAGCTTTTTTTTTCTTTCTAATTTGTACATTAACATGAGTTCAGTTCTTCCTCCAAATACTAAAATTTTACAAGAAAAGTTAGCTTCAGTGTACATTTATAGGCAGGGAAGACAAATTTGAGCTATAAAACATAGCACAAAACAACAATTTAATAGAGTAATTACTTGATCCAATTCCCTTGGAAATCATCAATTTGAAACCTCAGTTGCAAGATGTTATTTTAAAAGCTAAATGACAAAAAAAAATTGTTTGTAAACCATGGGAAACTTACATAAGAAAATATTTACTATTCACTTGATTACTTTTAATACATTTATAATACAATTTTAATACATATTACATAGAATAATTTATAAAACACATATAATGCAAGTTTTATTAATGACATTTTTTCACACATTTTAATACAATGTGTTAGAGTTTTATTACACCAACACAATGTGTCAATTTCTTACCAAACAATCATAATATATTTTAAAACAGTTATAATACATATATATTGCATACATAATTCACTTTTAATACATATTGTAGATTTATCATAGTAACACTATGTATTGCTGTACATGGTAATAAATAAATAATATTACCAAAATCAATAATTATTTATTAAAAGGTATCCATCCAAAATCATTTTTTCAGGTTTGAGTCCACTATAAACTTCACACTTGTGATGATACGGTAGCTTCACAAGTAACTTTGGTGCGGCACGAACAACGTTTCACATTAGTAAATTAAAAATTTGAAAAGCTATATATAAGGTGTACTAAATACTTTAAATGATGTGAACTCGTTTTGGAGAAATTGTGTAAGATTAATCGAAAACGGATAATATCATAACATGTTAATTATATATTTGGGCTGACTTAGCCCAACAATTAATATCAGAGCCAATGATTTGCAGAGCTGAGTATGAAAATAATAAAGTGATAGTGTGGGGCATGACTCACTACCTTTATCATGTCAAAGGCAGTTTGAATATGCACACACATGTGAGTGACACATAGTGAATCTCGAAAATTGACTCGTGGATCACGATGATGGGCGATGGTATAACTTAGTTCGAGGAACCACAATTGTTGGGTGTGTAAACAAAGTCTCACATCAATAGTTTGAAAAGATTGAGTTGCTACATATAAGATTATAGTGATACTCTTATTGATATGAGACCTTTGATTTTAGTGAAAAACATACCGACTTGACCAAAAACGAACAATATTATATCATATTAAAAATATATATCTTTGTATTGACTTAATCCAACAAATTCCATATGGAAAAAATATTAAGGATGTGTTCCGTATTGGAGAAAAATATTTTCCAGAATCAAGGGATGAATCATGATGCATAATAATCATGTATTGAAGTCTTTGGTAACAATGTAAATGCACTTTGGTGCACAAGATTGAATCTCAAATATATGATTAAGTAGTTGACAATACAAGTAATTTTACTGAATTTCATCAGTCTACCAAGTGTATTAGAAAAAATAATAATACATGAATTACTGAATGGCAAAGGGGTAGTTGTTAGAGTGTATTAGAAAAAATAATAATGCAAGCATTAACTTTGTGTAGCAATATCTTTTTTAGCGTATGTATAATTAATGCATGCTTGCATTAATTAAACACTCTATTGTATATTATTAATACCATAAATTTCATGTATTAGTAATGCAAAGATTTTAATGCATGAATTAGCATCAACTCAAACCTTTTTACATCTATTCCACATATTTGTGGTGGGTATTTTGTGAAAAAATATTTTTAAAAAAAAGTTTATGCAGTGCATGCTATTTTTAATACACCAAACCAAATAATGCATAAAAAACAATCTCTGCATATCTAATACAATTATGCAAACTTAACTAATACATAACATTATTCTTATACACCCTATCAAACGACTCCTTACGTTAATATACATTGTCAAGTGACTTCAACATCATTTCTTGTTTAGAGATTTTTAAAATTTTAATAAAATAGAATAAATTAAAAAATACTTAGTTGAAAGGTATTGTGTGGGGGACTATGTCATGGATGTCACTTAGCCTTGCCGGCTTGTCCGGCTCAACGTTTTCACCATCAATCTTTCACTTAATACAAAATTCAATAAATAGTAGCATTGACAAGATATTTATTATTAATATAATAAATTCCAATTATATTCATAGTTATTACTTGGAGAATGCCACTCTTTAATGGCCCAATTAGAAATCTTTACAATTATTTTATTGCAAATGAACGATTAAATTTGGAGAAATTGCAAGTCAAATGAATGTGATTGGTTTCATTTCACACGTCATTTAAATTAATCGTAGTATGATTGCGTTCTTATTTTGGCTGGCCGATTGGAGAGTCCTAGATCAATTTTTCCCATAAAAAAATATCTCTAATGTGTTATAGGGTTATGTGAATTTCTCTTTCCACAAAATGTCTTTTATATTTTGAAAAAAATTAGGATTATGTGAATTCCCCTATTCACAAAATGTCTTTTATACTCT